ACCTGAGACTTGCGCCGCAGAAGGGGACGCGGGGGCCAAGGACCGTCCGTCCCAGTCCTGCCAGCAGCGGGCCCGGGACAGCGCTGAGCGTCTCCCCGCCTTCGATGGGGAACACTTGGTTTCTCCCCCCTGGAGTCGAGTTGCGGGCCTCTCGCCACCCCGCGTCCCCAGTCCTGGCGATGGGGGAGCTAAGGCATCGCGACTCACGGACACGCGAAGACAGGGAGCCACCCACACAGGGTCCCCGATTCCAGGCGGTGGCCACAGGCGCGAAGCTTTCTTCTCCTCTGCATAGACAACTCACTGTCTTTAAAGTCATTCATGAGTCTTACTAATGTTTAAAAAATTTAATCCTTTCTTGAACACAAAAATCAAGCCCAGCCCAGTGCGCGCGCGCGCAGGTGTGCCTCACAAACGCGTTAACAAGCGCTTCCGGCCTCGGCCCCAGGGACGAGGAACAGCACTTCAGAATGCAGCGGAAGGCACTGAACGCAGAAGAGTGCTGCTGCCGCGAGCTCCAGCACTGCCCTGCGGTACTTAGGTGAGGGACGTGCAATACGGAGACGCGAGGGCCGCCCCGGAATGCGGCCGGGATGGACGCACTCCGAGCGTCTTCCACGCCGCACCCAGCTTCCTCGGAGGTGTCGCTGTGTGCAGCGGGTGGACAGCTCGCGTGTGAAGCACCAGCGGTGTTTGAAAAATAAGCTTCCGTTACTCTTGTTGCATTTCGGTGGTTTTAGCTCAGAGAGGCAGTCAATGAAAGGTCCCGTCGTGGCTGTGGTTCGGACAGACGGGTTGAGCCGCAGACTTTGGATTTGCTCCGTGCTACATAAGCACCGTGTCGTTTTGCTGCTTTTTCGAAAACGGTTTACTTTCGGGAAACTTCTTCCACCTCCTGAGCGGAGGGGTTTTCACATCTTTTGAGGACCTTCCAGAACCTGCCAGTGCCCTGTCGCTCAGGAGGACCCTCTGTCCCTGCGGAGCCACAGTGAGCAGATCGCACGTGCGTCACCAGGCGGGGCTGGATGAGCACACCTCTCCCCCGCTCCATGCTGTCGCAGTGTGCGTGCCAGGAAAGCCATGCATCTCCTGATGAAACCATGATTCTTGGGAGGTGTAGCTTTGATAAGTAGGAGACGTCACCAACATTTTTCAATAAAGTACCGAAACGTGCTTTTTCGTGTCTATTTGGTTATTAACCCTTGGGGCTGCGTTCAGTAAATACAAATCACAATGGCTTTGGCAGCGGTTCGATACCAGAGGTAACTGCTGAAAAAAATGATCGTGCTGTAGACTTACGGATGATAATGTAAATAGGCTTAACAAAGAGTGCTTGTGTACTTGGAAAAGAAAGTGGGCTACTGGAGAGCGCCTCATCCGAAGCAACACCAGTTTTTACAGCCTAGAAGAGGAAGGGAGATACCCCTGAAGGCTGCTTCAAGATGGCCAGGGGCTCCCCCAAAGTGACCCTGCTGTTATCATGGCAACCTGATAGCATCATCTTTTAAGAGTCCGAACACTGCAGCCAATGAGGTATCAATCCCAGGCTTCTGTGAGTCTCTGGCAGGCAAAGAGGACGCATTTTAATATATCTGCCTCTTTCACAGAAAAAAAATTGTAAGGGATCCTAATGTACCATGTTGACAAAGACAAATTCAGCCCAAGTGGATCTGAGACATCAGCTTAATTCAGGACCAGCTGGGCCCTCCACAGGACCCTCCAACAGTGAAATGCCTTTTTATTCTCTGAAGCTGCTTTCTAGAAAAGCCTTCCCATTCCTAGTTTGGGTCTGCCCCAAGGAGGGGCAGCACCAGCGCCCCAGGATGAAGTTTACCAGATTCTGATTTTCTGGAGCTGTAAGACATCGGAGGCAGACGGAGGGGGCTGCTGCAGATGAAATGGAATCAAAAGGGTATTTTCTAATAAATTCCATAAAATCACAGTAGCTCATTTTGATGCACTGAGTTATCAGAAATGCAGGATTCATACCATTCCTAAGTGTGATACATAAGGCTAAGACCTCAGGGGGAAATACTTTTAACAAAGATCAATTGGTTTTCACAAACGATTAAGAAAAATCCCTAAAGAACAATCTAAACTGTTACATTCAACTTATTCCTCAACAGAGTGAAAACATTTTTAATTTTCTGGGTTTTGCTAATTTTCTTTGGAGTAATAAGATTTCTCTACTGTCAAAACTACATTAAAACAAACAACAACAAAAACAAAAAACTACCATACCTGGCTTCTTAACACTTTAGAAATTCATACATATTCCTTATTATGAAAAAACATTTTATTTATTTTGTAAAAAAATGTTTAACTACAAATAAAAAATCCTATTACCAAAAGCAGCCTATTTTTTAAAATGAAATTTGTGGGTTAAAAACAAGAATGAGCCTGAACCACAGAGAAAGATTTAAGTTTATTTTGGTAGACTTGCTTTTTATAGGCATTGGTTCAAAGTGATTCTTTTCAGAAATGACTCTTTGAAAAGCTGAAGAAAAAAGCCAAGGTTGACACTTTCCCTCAAAGACACGCAGGGATGCTGGGCATGGCCCTCCTGTCCTGCCTCAATGTGCAGCCAAGGGAGGAGGCCCAGCGCAGCCAGTGGGCCACCTGTTACCAAGTCAGATAACGTGAGCACTCTGCAGTGTCACTCACAGGCACAGACCCTTCCTGCCCACCTCCGCCACACCCACCAGGCCTCCTGAGCTACCCCAGCAGGGACCTGGGGAACCTTGTCACTGTGTCCTATTACACTGGCCACTGCCCCAGGAATCCAGAATCTAGGATCCCCTGCCTTCTGACAAAATGTGGTAGATACACAATGCCATTTATTCTTTTTTGGTTTTCTGAGACAGGGTCTTGCCATATAGCCCAGGCTGGCCTTGAACTCTTGGGGATCCTCCTGCCTCAGCCTCGCCAGTGCTGGGATTACAGACGTGCGCCACCACACCAAACTCTCGACGCACTTTAAACTGGGGCATGATAATCCAGTGCTGTAAACGCTTGCAGTGACCTTGAGTTGAACAGCCCTGTTTTAAAGATGATAAAGAAAATGTCAAGTTTCAGTGAAGATATTAAAGCTCTGTCGTCGAGTCTGGCACAGCAGATGGACTTCTCTGGCTCGAGCTGTAAAAGGGCCTTCATTTTCTCTATGAAGCAGAATTTCAGGAGTCTTTGGTTCACGTGAGGCAAAACCAGCTTTATGGAAAGTGCAGCCTAATTTTGTCTCCCCAAGGTGGCGGGCTGTCCTGCACATGCAAGAATGTCCCCAAGCTGGCTTCGCAGGGCCGAGTGGTACACACGGGACATCTTGGGGTGCTTTGACACGGCCACACTTCATCAGTTTTAATTTACGAAAGGAAATTAAATGATAATGTTTTTTCCTCCCATAGCAGAGCTATCTACAATAAGCCTCCGTTTAAAACAAAACACAGTATGTTTTTCATTAAATAATTCCCCCAAGAAATTCAAAACCACCACCATGGCAGCTCTGAGGGTTGACCTGCCTTCTGCTAGGTGTTCAGAGACAAAGCCGCAGCGCTGGCCCCATGAGACCGCAGTGGACTTCAGTGCGTCACTCATTCCAGGAGACCTGGCCATGGCAGACAGAGTGATTTCTTCAGAAAAATAATTCTAATTGCAAACATGACTTCTGAAGTCCTCTTACAGTTACATTTCCAACACACAGATCAGGCTGGGACACTTAACTAAACACGGTGATTTTCTTCCTATGGGGGCTATGTATGCCTGGCTCAAGGTAGGCAGATTTTATACTGAAAACTGCAGGTTTCTGGAATTAGCCTGGCTGCGTAAAACCAGTGTGAAGAAGGGGCTGGTTTACAGTGAGGGGATTTTGTTCAAAGCTGAGTGTGGATTCTGCTGCCCGCCTCACAAGTGCAAGGACCTGAGTTCAATCCCCAGTACAAAAAAAAAGCTGAGCACGGTGTCGAGTTTTCTTTCCCCTGATTTCAGCTGGGGCTGGTGGGAAGTGAGAAGCGCGAACAGCACTTGGCCTCTCGAGGCTAAAGAGTCACAGGTGTGCTCTGTGGGAAGCACGGTGTACACAGAGACGGCAAACATACAGGCTTCCTTTCCTCTGTCCTGCCACAGGGACTTTTAGGACATCAGGTTTTGATGGTCTTCTTTTAAATCTACCCGGAGGCACACTGACGGCTTTCTTTCTTGGCAACAGAAGGAAGTAGAGAGCAAAAACTTAAGACTTTCAAATCCAATGCCGTATCAGGTGTGGTGGCACGAGCATTGGGAGGCTGAAGTGGGAAATCGCTGTGAGTTTGAGGCCGGCCTGGGCTACCATGAGTACAAGGTCAGCCTGAGCTATGCAGAAATACATAGCGAGACCCTGTGTCAAACACAACGAGACGTACAATGCCATGCACTCTACCTTCTGAGCGTACGCAGTGTGCAGACGACCCAGAGACTTCCTTCAAAGCTCCCAGAGTCCTGCTGTGTGGGGCAGGAGAGCGCCTTCACCTCCAGCTGCAGAGCTGACTGCCTCCTGCACACCTGAAGGGCCTTGGGCTTAATCCTGGCCTTCAAACGGAACTCAGGAGGAAAAGTTCCCAAAACAACTCAGGATAAGGAACGGATTCCAAGGTGTTTACGCCTAGGCACTGGCTGTTCTGGGACCACAGGGATCGGCCTCCTCCTCTCTCCACTGACACAACTGTCCAGCTGGGAAACCCCTCCCTGGAGGCGGGAGACAGGGCCGCTGCCCCTCCAATAAGCCACCCAACACCCAGGGCGTTTCTCCTTTGCTTTTTTTTTACTAGCTTAAGGCTGAAAAGGCCTCCACTACTAGAAGATCATTGGAATTCGATTCCTGTTTCCATGTAAACGATTTCCCCCAGTAAACACAAATCCAAGCTCAAAGGAAGGGGGTGACTTCACACCCACGTGGGGCTTTACCTAAATTTTCACCTGTCTCCCTTCCACCCGGAAGCATCTTCAAACATTCAGTAAAACAACAAACCTTTAAAAATCAGAAAAATAGAAAAAAGAAAAAGAGAGTTAACAAATGGCTGGAGGGAGGAAACATCACCCTGAACACTATGTTAGCTTCCCAGCTTCCCAGGTCTCCACTAAGCGCAGGCAGCAGGACGGATCCCATGGCTTGCTGCGGGCTAAGTCCGCCCCGGTCACGCCCAGCCCGGCCAGCCCCAGCCAGGGCTACCGCCGCTTGGGCACAATGAGGTTGCGCAGCATGTCAAAGGAATTGCCGTCCGGGTGCACGGTCACCACCTCGCCGCCCTCCTGGTGGACCTGCAGGTACCCGGAATCATCCAGACCCACGATCCACACCTTCTGGCCCTCAGCGCTGCCCAGACGTACTTGCTGGCCACTGCAAAGAAAGCAGAGTGTGAGGGAAGGCTGGCAAAAATGACCATTCCTTCTACTGAAGACTTGGGGGTCCTGGGAGAGGCCTGAGGCTGGGCACGGTGACAGGGCAACCCCTCTAGGCTTTGTTTGCATTACTGTTAAATAACCAGGGTTAGTCAGGCCTGGTACATGCCCATAATCCTAGTTTTAGGGAGGCTGAGGCAGGAGGATCCCCTGAAGTACATAGTAAGACTCTGTGTAAAAAAATAAAATAAAAAATAAATAACCAGGGTGTGGACTTCTCTGGACTCTGATCATCACACTGCTGACCCTGCTCCCCCAGCCCAGTGGTCCTGGACACCCGTAACTCAGACTTTGCAGCTGAGACAGAGGTAGAGGAGAGAGAAGAGACTGTCTTATAAAGTTGGACAGTATCATTCTGCTCCTGCTTCTTCTGGTCATTTCCCAAAGCAACTGTTTACTTACATCCTCGGCAACAGTTTTCAAAGTAGAGAACCCACCCCATTTTTTAAATAGTTTTTAAAACTTCACATTAACTTTTGACGTGCTGGGGATGAAACCCAGGGCCTCATACATCCCAGGTGAGCGCTCTATCCCTGAGCCACAACTCCAGGTCTCCTCACCCCAAATATTTATTCTGAAGAGTTTCAAACCTACAGAAAACCTGACAGAATAGTCCACTGCCCTCCCCTACCCCTTTACTTATTCAAACAACTGACAGCATTTCCGAATTTGCTTTTTCTCTTGACCCACATTCATCTTTCTGCATCATGAAAAATTAAGCTCCAGGCATCATGACCCTTGGTGCTTAAACTTTAGTGTGCGTCTCCCTAGCAAAACAACAGTGCCCTCCACTGACTTCTTCAGGGAGGAGGCAGGGAGGTGGCACCTGCAAGCACAGCGCTGGGCCCCACCCCAGCTTCCGGTATAGTACGTCCTGCGCGCAAATTTGCATTTCTAACAAGTTCCCAGATGAGGCTGCCAGGCGGCTTGGGGATCTTGCTTTGAGAACCATAGCTGTCGAGTGCCTCACCTCTAGATGTGCCAGTCACACTGGCTGAATTTAGGGTGCTTTCCATATACCCCACCGGCTGCTCCTGGCCCCAGAGGGCTAACTCAGTCAGGTGGTGTCTTCTAGTTTCTCCGTCCCAGAGGTAACACATCATTATTATTATTCAGACTGTGCCCGCCCTTACTTTCGGATGCCGAACTACTGACCTAATAAAGGCCCTGCGGGCACTGACCTGTGGACCCAGTATTTATAATACAGCGGGAGGATGCCATTGGGCCCTTGGTCCTGAAACATGTCGATGAGTCTCTCCAGCACTGTCACGGCCCTGGCAATGACACAATCAGCTCTTAAGGGCTTCAGGTCTGCTCCGTGTTGCTTGTTGTATTCTTCAATGAGGTCATTGATGCATACGGTGGGGTTACTGTTAGTCACATTGAACCCAAAGCCTGCACAACAGACAAACAAACAGAATGAGCAACTCAATGCTCAGCACCTTGCTGGCATCACTGAGTCCTCCGCAGCCTCTGGAAAAAGCTATGGTTCTTGTTTTTGTGCCGTTGGCAAACATTTTACCATGCAGCTACCCCCAGCCCGGAAGCTAGTTCCACCCCAACTTCCTGTCTCCTACCCACCAGGTGTGGTTCACCCTTACTGCAAATAGGAAGGCAGGGAAGGCGAGGGGGTGACTGTGCCAACAGGGGCTGTCGCTGTCACACAGCGTCCTGTGGCATTTCTGAAGTAACGACCCCTCTCACCTGGTCTAGGCAGGAGAGCAAAGGAAAAGACAGCTCTTTTTCCTTTCCTGTGTGAATGATGCAGTACATGCCTGGAGAAAGGAATTTTCTTCATGGTTTAAAGACAAACCCGGGGTCGAGAGACTTCAAACCTGGTCATGGTCTGCCTGAGTACCCATCATTTTTTTTCCTGGTACCAAGGATGGAACTCAGAACCTTGCACGGGTGCCACTGAACTAGATCCTCAGCTCTGAGTATCCATCTTTCAGCCCTCTGTCCTCAGAGCTCCGGTACTGAGGCGTGGCTGTGATCAGGGCACTTCTTTACAGGCTCCTGAGTCAAGGCTGGGGGTGCGGTGGGACGGGGGGACCACGAGTGAGCAGGGGTGTCAGACTGGGCTTTCTCCTGATTAACCTCAGAGGTCTTCAGTCAGAAGAGAGACTGCAGGGAGAACGGGGCCAAAGGGCAGCGCACCTTCAGAGTCTCTAGGGAAACAATCCCCACATAACTGGCCTCAGGTAGTACAATGACGTGTAGTACCAGTGAAAGGACACTTTGTTGTAGAAGGAAGATGGACTGGCCTCTGATTTTTGAAGGCATATCCTGGCCATGAAAATACAAACCAAGCTGTCAGGTACAGTAGCGTAAGTCTGTAATCCTAGCTACTCAGGAGGCTGAGGTGGGACGATCTGGAATTTGAGGCCAGCCTGAGCAAATTAATGACTTAGTGAAATCCTGTCTCAAAATAAAAAATAAAAAGGGCTAGAGATAACTCAGTGGTAGAGTGCTTGCCTAGCATGGGTTCACTCCCATGCCATAAAAAGAAAAAAAAAATTAAAAGACACACAATGCAAATTACACCTGGAAAAACAGGTAATTACAGCAATAGGCACAAAACTTCGTTTCTCCATTCATCTGGCAACTGAGACAATCAGAATCTGCAGCACCTACTGAAAGCAATGCATTCGATCAGTTGCCATATAGATCTGAAAATTCTTCCTTGTGTTCAGAAGGTCAAAAGTCCTGGGGACATTAGTGACATTGGTGTCCACTTGGGCTGTGTCTGTATAGGGACTGAACAGCGCCCCTGCAGGCAGCTCTGCCTCTCCCCTGCACCCCAGTTGCACTAGGAATTGAATCAAGGCTATGAGCCTCCCTGCAGGGTTGTGTTGGTTTCACCAGGCTGACAAAACTCCTTTGCACCCCTCTGAGGACGCCACATGGGAGACCTCGGCCTCCAGCTGGCCGCCGCTCACTCAAAGATAGGAAGCGGAGCTGTGCAGTAAAAAGCAGCTGCCCAGAATAATACTGCTGGCGGGTGGTGGGCTGGAAACACAGCCTTGTGTTCTTTGGCTGGTACTTCCAACACAGGGCTGCATGCTTTCTGTATGTTACTGATTTCTGAACACTAGTAAAACTCTACTGGGCAGGTTGGCGGCTGGATGACCAGAGACCTAAAAACTTCTCAAGTTGCCTCCAGACCCATCTCCTTACCTGATTTCCATGTGCGAGGTGAGGTGGGAACTCTTTGCCCCACCTTTGGCAGCCATTAGAAAGTTTAAAAAGGGACTTTTTTCATAGCTGGGAAGGACAATTTTTTTGCACTGGTAATCAAACTCAGGACCTTGTGCTTGCTGTGCCACTGAGCTACATCCGCAGCCCTGGGAATGACAATTTAAGAACGCAAGACCATGCCAGATGAACTGGTGCACACTTGTAATCCCAGCATTCAAGAGGCCGAGACAGGAAGATCACAGTGAGTTTGATGCCAGCCTGGGTTATGTAGTGAATTGAACACCAGCCTAAACTACACAGCAAGACCCTATCTCAAAAAAAAAAAA